AAAAAAAAAAAAAAAAAAACCTAGACCTAGAAAAGAGACCAGTCGTTGCCCTAGCTTCTTCTTTATGGAGATAACGACAAAAACCCTAGGCTGAACCCTAGAGAATCATCCCAGCTGCCACCGCACCATAACCTTCCCCGATAGCCGCTTGCCTTACCCCTCTGACCAGCGGCACCCCCAAATCTTTTCCACCAAAAGCCGTCGAAAAACACACACACACACAAAAACGTATAGAGATCCATACACACACACACAGACATAGAATGGGGAGGTCGACTGAAGACGAAACAGGAACGAAAAGGGGAAAGGGAAGGAGCGAAAAATATGGCTGCCTTCTTTTCTTCAATTTCATCTTCCTTCCCTTATCTAGAATAGCTAATTTCGATAAGCAAAAACCTTAGCAGAAATTTGGGGAGGACGGCAGAGCAAAGAGTTTTCTTCTTTCCATTTTTCAATTTTCGTTCGGCTTCATGATTTATTAAAAATCAGAAAAAAATTATATTCCGGAATTTCCTCCTTTTTGATTTGATCTTCAAAGAATGGAATCGAGCTAAAGTGGGTGTTCGGATTTGGAATTTCCTTTCGTGGTTGCCGAGTTCGTGGTTCCGATTCGTGATTTTGATGGTTCGATTTTACTGTGTAATTCAAGTTTTGGTTTCTTAAATTCTTCAAGCTCGAAGGAAAATTTCTCTACTGGAGGTCCATTTCTTCCCTTAATCTTCATTGTCTTGATACTATGTGATTTGTAATGTGATGTTAGTCCATTTGGGTTCACTTTTATTTTTCTTTCTATGCTTTCCCTGTGTCGTTCGGTATTTGGATAGCTTTGATTCATTACTGCTTATTTTCATGCCTTGTCTATTTTGATTGTATGTTATTGCCGGGATTTGAGTATTTCATTTGATTGCAAGTTAGCGGATGATTGCCACCTACTTTTCTGCCGTTAGTTGTTAAGTTTGGCATATAAAATTAGAACGATGGTGGGCTACGTGGAAAAAATAAAGCTTTGTGAGATGTGTCAGGAAAGTTAGGCTAATGAATGAATTAAATGGTTGGTCTGGATAATATTAAAGGAATGGACTAGCGTTATATTTTTAGTTCTGTTGTTTAATTTTCTTACTTTGGCCGCTAGCAACAGGATTAGGCCGTCAACGCTTGGGTAGGCAAGCCTTAGGATTTTTGTTAGTTTCGAGGCGAGATGTCGTTTCCTTAGTTAAATTTATCCGGGGAATGCCCCGAAGCATTTGTATTTATTTTTATCCGGGGTATGCCCCATAATATCATGTATTTGGAGGCCATGACGAACCTTGAGGAAAAATATACTCCCTCCGTTCCAATTTATGTGAACCTGTTTGACTAGGCACGGAGTTTAAGAAAAAATGAAGATTTTTGGAATTTGTGGTCCTAAACAAGTCAAAAAAGGGCTCAAAGTACTTGTGTGATGATACAAGCTTTTCATTAAGGGTAGAATGGTAAGTTTAAGCTAAATTATTACCAAATTTAGAAAGGGGTCATTCTTTTTGGAACGGACCAAAAAGGAAATAGGTTCACATAAATTGAAACAGAGGGAGTAATATATATTAGTATTTTGGACTTTATTTTAATTTTCTTTTCTATTTTCTTTTATTAGGTGGGGACGACCTCGAGCCTCTTGTGTGTTTATCTTGTTTTGTGTTTTTTTGCCTCAATTAGAATATTCTTAAAAGCCGACTAGATCAAGTTTGCAACCGTACTAGTTACGAGACTTGGGGAGTGCCTAACACCTTCTCCACGAGTATAATGAACCCCCTTACCCAAATCTCTGGTGTAGACTTAGTTTTGGAGTCCAAAGTGTTTGAAAGGAAAAATTATTTTTTAAAAAAAAAAACATTGACATGACACACCGAAATCAAAGTCAGGTGGAGACTCTGAGTTATTTCCTTTTGAACACAACTTTGTCACTTTTTAATTAAAAACCCTTTTGAGCTTCAAAAATTCTTTTATTTATTTTAAGATGGTTAGTGAAGTTTGGTGGAAGAAGGTGTGTGACATATGTAAGGGAGGATTTGGCAGCAACTTCATATTTGTTCTTAATGGTTCCTTCAATGAACTCCTTCAGTTGATCGATTGGAATGATCTCTTCAGATGAGACAGAGATAACCTTAGTGGATGCTACTTGTCTTGGGGGAGAGTCACTCCCTTGAACTTCTGGGAGCTTACCAGGTGCATGGGTGGATTCTTCTTCCATCAAGATTCCCACCGTGTCTGTTAGCTTGTCAATTCTAGCCTCTTGATTTTGCATGAATTTGGTCAAGCCAGCAATTGCTTCCGTTAAGTTTGCCAACTGCTCCTCCACAGATGAAGTGTTTGTCACCATGGCATTGTCGTGGATGACGGAGAGTAGCATCGATTTTCACACAGATTGATCCTTGATTGACTCACATTATGTGGTGTAAGTGGGAATGATCCATCACTTGAAGCATCATCATCTTCCTTCACAGTAGAGTGCTTGGATCCGGAAAGGTCAACCAAAGCAAGAGTTTTCTTGATCTTTTCAGCAACATCGCTTCCTCCTTCAGCTGCGTTTGTGGAAGATCTTGCTCCTTATGAGGATGAAGATCCGAAAACAGGTGTTGATGCGGACGACACTTAGGATGCTTGTTGTCCTAAAGCGCTCGCTTTGATCCTCGTAACTGGTCCAAAGCTTCCAAAGGTAACATCGAGGATGCTTTCCACATCAGCATAGAACCTAGAGCTAGCAGCCTTGGTGGAAGTTGAACCGGAGTTGATTTTCTTTGAAGCCATTTCAATGTTCTTGGATTTTGGTGATTGAAAAGTTGAGATGAGAGGTAGAGATTATCCCACTGGGCATTCCAGAGTTTGTAGACAATAAATTGCGTCGAGAAAATAAAATCAAGACCGAAAAATATTGCAACAATCGTAGTATTTTATTTCGAATATTTGAGTGCTATAATCTCTATGAATCCTCTGATTCTACTTTTCAATGGAAAATAAAAAAGCCTTTGAGCTTAATCTTAAATTTTGTTTTATTTTAATCCAAGTGCTTGAGGTCTGATCTTGATCTTGACGTCTTGCAGCTTGTTCTTGAATCTTCGTCTTGATTTTTTAATCCTTAGAACACCTGAATGCTTGTAGTTTTTAGAGAAATCTGCAGCGTTTGATCCATGAGCTCTCTCTTGCTTCTTGTTATAACTTCCAGTGTCTTTTCTGAGTTATGAAGACCCCAATTTATAGTTGTGGGAGGGAAGAGTTATAATAAAAACAAACTCTTTTCGACCAATCAAATTAAAGTGTGACAAGACATCATTTGATTGAGCAGAACATGTCACTTGCACACGTGGCGCGGTTTCATTGCCTTTTAATGTGACTTGGCATGCCTTGTCATTTTGACACGTGGCATGATCCCATTGGCTCTTCAGTTTGACTTGGCGTGCCACATCATTTGACACGTGGCACCAAACTGGGCCTCTAGGAAGATGATATATTGGGCATAATAAAGTGAGCTCATCAATTTAGCCCAATTAAATGAGCTAGCTCAATGAATTAAGACTTATTTATTTAATCCATATATATTGGACTTATATAATTAATTCATTTATATATTAGCCCATAATATTTATTTGGACCAATATATCTTGAATTTAAAATATAGTCCAAATTATTTTATGAATTTAATTTTAATAAAATTTATATGCCTACATCTTGGTCGAAGGAAATGGTATTTTTCTTTCTGTGAGGATGAATAGGCATAATGAACGGTGAAGATGAACAAATGGGGAATTTTTTAGAGGGGTAATAGAAACCAAAAATCAATAAAATAGAATTGAAATTTCTTACGGACTGAGAGAAGTATTTACCAATTCCTTCCTTCCTTCCTTCAAACCCTATATAACCAATCGCTTCGCCGCCTCTCCTCTTCACCTCCTTTATCCCCTTTATATATTCAAACCCTACTCTTCCTTTTCCAACTGCTCAACTTTTCCTGTTCCTTCAAATATTATTTGCTTCGTTCAATAGGTAACATATCTAATTACGATTTGCTCTGTATTTTTTTTTCTATATTCCTTTTGCTCGTATAGAACTGTTGATTGAATGTCGGCTTCGTGTTTTTATGCATTACATAGTTTATCTTCAGTTTTTTGATTGAGTAGTAATTGATTTTTCAATGTCTTTATACCTGTTTTATAGTAAGTTGTACACTTCTGTGTATTTAATGCCAATACCTTAGTCGTCTGCCACATATAATTTTTTGTATAACTGAGTAGTCAGCATCCGTAGAATTAGGCAAAGGAAAGTACCAATGTATATGTACAGTGAAATAGTTGTTACCACCATTGATGCTCTTTTTTTTTTTCCTTTTTTTCTTTTGCTTCATATGAGGTGGATTATGAGTATCTTCTTATTTTAGATAGCACTGGATATTTAGGTTTACTACTTGATGCTCAATTTGTGCTTCTCTTAGATGGTCATAGGATTGAACATCCTATAGTGGATTATCATAACTTATTAAGTTACGGCGATTAGTAGGCTATATTAACTATGGTTATGCATATACGATTTGATTCAGCTTGAAGAAATCTGACCAATTTCATATTAAAGACTCGGCCGTTGCCTATTAGTGTGCGATATATCTTTTGATTTCTAAAATTTTACAATAATGGGTTTCTCTTCGACTCTTCCAGCAAGTGGTACTGTAGTTTGCAACTCAGAAGCTCGGATATGAAATTTCAATATTAAATTTCCTAAGTAATGTTATACTCTAGCTGGGGTTAAATTTCTGAAATGATGAGAACATTACCTATGGCCTTCTATTTATTCATATACATAAATCCCAGAATATATCATTTTCCTTAAATTTTACCTTGCTTCAGCTATATGACTGAAAGAATTGACTTTAAAAGTAAGTATCATTTTTTATTTTTAAATTTTTACGGCATTGCTTGTATTTTGTAACAACTGCTTTTTCGTATAACTTCCCCCTTGTTTTTGATGTGGCTTTCTTTCTGAAGGTTGCTGGCATCTTATCTTTGTGGGGTTTCAAGTTGTAGTGTCCAAGTTGAAGCTTCTTTTATGTCCAAACAAGCCATACTCTATTTGGGATCTGTTGGATTGCTTGGAGAATATTGTCCTACTTTAAGAAGAAGTAGCAGTCATATATCTGATCGGGTAGACTGTATGCATCTCGACTCGTTTTCGGAAGGACACTTAGAGTTTTGTGGTTGCAGTCAGACGCAACCTTCTCTCAACAAATTTTGGGCCAAAGGATCCTCTGAAAACCCCTAACGCTTTGTTTAGGAAATTTCACTGAATCAAAATGGCTTTGCAGAATATTGGAGCTGCCAACAGTGATGATGCCTTCTACAGGTACAAGATGCCGAGGATGATTACCAAGATAGAGGGACGCGGAAATGGCATCAAGACAAACGTGGTCAACATGGTCGACATTGCCAAAGCTCTAGCAAGGCCAGCATCTTACACCACAAAATTTTTTGGTTGTGAGCTTGGGGCTCAATCAAAGTTTGACGAAAAAACAGGAACTTCCCTTGTCAATGGAGCTCATGATACTGCCAAGCTTGCTGGTCTTCTTGAGAATTTCATTAAGAAATTCGTTCAGTGCTATGGGTGTGGAAACCCTGAAACTGAGATCATTATCACTAAAAAAGAGATGATCCAACTGAAGTGTGCTGCATGTGGTTTTATTTCTGATGTAGACATGAGAGACAAGCTGACAACGTTTATTCTTAAGAACCCACCTGAGTCTAAGAAAGGTGCCAAGGACAAGAAAGCAATGAGAAGAGCTGAAAAGGAGCGATTAAAGGAAGGCGAGGTTGCTGATGAAGAGCTGAAGAAGCTGAAGAAAGAAACAAAGAAAAAGGTTTCTTCCAAGGAAGCCAATGCAAAACCTAGCTCCAAAAAGAAAGCCAGTGGCTCTGATGAGGATCATGCTTCCCCACCCAGAAGCCATGTGAATGTGGAAGAGGAGGATGAAGAAGAAGATGATGTTCAGTGGCAAACTGATACATCAATGGAAGCTGCGCACCAGCGCATCCAGGAACAGTTGAGTGCTGTGACAGCTGAAATGGTTATGCTCTCCACAAATGAGCCAGAGAAGAAACCCAAGGCAGCTACTCAAGCACGCCAAAGTTCCAAGGCTGTTTCAGCGCCATCTGAGGATGATTCCAAAGCTGAGAATGGAGAGAGAAGCTCTAAGACATTTGTTGAGGAAGTGAAAGTACATCTGAAGAAGGGAGTCACGGCCAGCCAATTTCGATCCTTCTTGGGTTCACTCGCTGGATCTCCTCAGGACATAGTTACTGCTGTCTATGAGGCACTGTTGGATGGTGTTGAGAAAGGATTTGCCAAGGAGGTTATTAAGAAGAAAGGTTTCCTTCTCGCTGCTGTTGGTCAACAGGAGGGGTCACAACTATGTTTGCTCCGAGCACTTGAAGAATTCTGTGGGAAATCTAACACAGCAGCTGTGAAAGAAGTAGCTCTAGTTTTGAAAGCTTTGTATGATGCTGATGTATTGGAGGAGGAATTTATAGTGCAGTGGTTTCAAGAGGGTCTTGCTGGGGATAAAAAGGACTCCAAAATTTGGAAGAATGTTAAACCCTTTGTTGATTGGCTGCAGAGTGCCGAGTCGGAGTCCGAGGAGGAATGAGATCACAATTCTCATCCTTGTTTAGATTGTGTTCTCTGCAGGCTTATGTTCTGGCATCTTTTATCCGTATGGTGCTTTGCCAGAGAGACTATTACTAGTTTGGATTTCATGTGTTCTCCTTTATTTATTGTTTTGCCTGGGTCTGTGTTTCTAATTTCGTGGTACTTCTGTCGTGTGATGCATTTGCTTTCTTTTCAACGTTTTAAGGTGGAAAGGTGTACTATGCAGAATATGCTAGCTACTTATTCTTGTTGAGGAGGATGAATAATTTTTTTTGAGTTTAAATGCTTATTCACGTAAAGTAGTAACTTTCCCGTGGTTCAGTGATGAGGTTGTAAGCAAATATTTTTGTGGTGGTATTTCATTAAACGAGCTTCGCAAAAATATGATGGCAATTTTGTTATTTTTCGCATTTAAATTGCGTATCATATTTTTAACTTAATTCTTTTAAGTGCCATAAAGTTGCACTTGAAATATCATTTTGCTCTTCTGCTACACGTCATTTTCTCTTGTAATGTTAAAAGTAAATCTGAAGTAAGATGGGTTACAAGATATACAAGCAAAGCTAGCAGATACTGTTACACCAGATCATTTGATTTCTTTTTGCTGCTTTGCCTAATATGTATGGCGACAATCAATTTGCTCAACCATCTTATGATCGAATCTCAGCAGAAGAATACTCCATCACGGAGCAGCGAGCTGATGAACATTAATAGAGGACCACCAGTTGCAATGCCAAACTTCCCACTGGTGTTGAGATTTTAGTCTTTTAAGCTAATTAAGGATTCATTGGACATGTATAAAATGTGGCCGAGGTGGCTGTAGTGGTAGTTCATTCTCATCATCTAATGGAGCAATCTGAGAATGCGGATGCTGTTGTAATGGCAACTCAGTTTCCTCATCTGATGGGGTAATCTGAGAGTGATGAAGATCCTAAAACAAACATAAAGAAGAGAGGAAATTGGAAATCAACAACCACTCATTGCTACAACATTTTCAACAGTGCTACAGAGTGTACTGCCAATGATTTATCATTGCAAGTAATATTTCTTTCAGGTTTTGGGTCCATAGTGTCATTTGTCAAAGAGTATATGTCAAAATCAGTCTCATCTCATCTTCTTAACTTACATTTCATATCTGGCAGATCAATATCACTAGTATATTAAAGGCAGTTTTGCTGTAATTCAAAATCAGAATAAACATCAACAGATTGATTTTTTTAGTCTTAGATATGGTGTTTATGCAAATTTCATGGGATATATAGAGAGTATTGTTGTGCTCACGCGCAGTTGTGTGGAGTCCCATTAGCAGAAATATAACAGGTTGAAATGCCTGATGCTATTAGAAGCTTGTGGCAACAGAAATAACAATGAATTAGAGACCACTAGCTATTAGAAAAGAAGAATAGTATAGAATGTTATGAGATGATTTAGCTTCAAAAATATTACTACAATAAATTTGATATTTTACCCACCTGTTGATGCCTGCGATGTCGTATGGCAAGAAAAACTTTCGCCAATGCATAGACCGCCAGTAGGATTCCGACAGTTTTCAACACTGATAACTAGAAAGACAAATACATAAACCAACGAAAAAGTTTCTTTTGAATTAAGTTTTAATTGTGTCACTAACCATGATCAATGTTATCGAATTATCTCCAGCAACACTAAGGATAAGTGGCAGGATTGTACGTAACATCAGAAGAAGCACAAACTGCATGGACAAAGGGAAGAAATCAAATTTACAAATTGTATCTCCAACAACAACAAGCCCAGTGTAATCGCACAAGTGGGGTACGGGGAGTGTAGTGTGTACGTAGGCTTACCCCTAGCCTACCCTACCTACTAAAGGTAGAGATGTTGTTTCCGATAACAAGAAATAAAAATATAATCTCGCTCGAGGCAAGAACTAGTGCTTAGGTGGATTAGTCTAGTGATTCTATATGCCTTTTCTATCCAGAGTGGATGCGCCATTGAGCAATACAGGATGTCCCTACATAACTACTCTTCCCTACAATCAGCTCTTTTCTCAAATTTACTCTGAGCAACTCTTATGTTCGAAGCAAGATGTTGTCTATTCACAGTGGGTGCTTACCGTTATGGCAACCATGCGGCAGCATATCAAACTTGTTGGATAAAATACTGAATACTCATCAAAGTCATAATCAAGAAAATTGTGGTCTGCAGAAGCCAATGCAACAAATTGAGGATAATCAAGGCTATTCATGGAAATCTCCCAGTTTCCTCTGTGATATGGAACAAGATCAAGCAACAACAACCTTGGTTATTAGCTGGAACTATAAAGAACAGTTTTATGAAGAAATAACTGGTGAAATTTCAGCTGTCAAAAGTACCTCATGTTCATTGGAAATCGGCCAAACACAGGAGCTGGTGCAGTATAGTTTGGCTTAAAATTCTGTAATCTCGCATTAAAGAGAAGCATGGTTAAGAGCAATCTACTCAATAGCAACATTTGGGTCCTGGTTTAAAGAATGAACACAGGATGAAAAAGTATGCAATCACAATTAGACCTACAAACCTGGCGGCAAATTTCACAGACAGTATCCCCCTTCTCATTGCACCACCTCTGTACACATTTGCGATGGGCATACTGTGCATAGAAAAAGGTTCATTAAGAACAAAATATCACTAAACAATTGAGCATGCAAGCATCCAAGGCACTGCTTGTCTTAGCAGCAGTTACATTTTGGCTTATCCGATGAAATCCACGTTGTTATTGCAGCTTCATTTAGGACATGTTCAGTTTCATGATAATTTTGTTACATCAGAGTACAGAAAAAGCTTTCTGTTCAATGATGGCATAACTGATCTTCTCATATGAAATCAAACTATATATTATCCTCACCTTTTGGATTCTGTGCAACCAAAAACAAAAACAAATAGGAATCCAAACTGTGAAGTTTTACAAATCTCTGGTAGAATGCGAAATGTACTAAGAGCTGCACCTAACATTAACACATAATAGCCAAAGGAATTCCAAAAATAGAAAGTCATGGTCACAAATTATATATACTATGAGCATATTTTTCAGATATCAGATATCTATAACAAATGAGCAAACAGTTGCCATAACAAACCTTGAGGGTTCCACGGCAAGAACAGGGAATCTCCATGTTTGAATCTTCATCAGCATCATGGCAAATCCTACATTCTTCCATCTTCCTTGGTGTACACTCTACATGAATGTCCATCCTATATATAGGAAGCACAAATTTGTCATTCTTTCTCATATTTTTCATAGTAATACTAATTCAGTACTATGTTTTGAACTTTTTGGAATGTAAGAACATACATATAGTCTTTGTGAAAATAACTTCCTGTTCGCAACACAGCTCACCTGCAATATGGAGCAGGAAAATTAAAAAAGGATGAACTATAGGAAATATAATGCACATAGTAGTTACAAATCATGTAAAACAAATTCTTAGAAATGATATTAATTATTTTGAATTGACGAGGTTAAAGCATTGCATAGAACATAATTAACTGGGAAGGTAAACCAAAAATAAGAATATTCCACGAATTATTGGAAGAAAGGAAGTAGAAAAAAAAAATGAAACTCAAACGAAAAGTTTTAAATTTGTGAAAAAGAATCGAACGAACCCAACACCTTTGATTCTACGGATGATACCAAGAAACAAGTTGAATAACGGGAAAGAAAAGTGAATGAATTATTAACAAGAGGAAAACTTATAAGAATGGGATGGCATTTTTGCAAGAGAAGAAAACAGAGTCTTAAGCCTCAACATATTTTCTTCTTCATTCTTTGCTTCAACCTTCCATTTTGATTTCCCATTCTATAATTTTGTTTTATTTTTGCCATCCCAATTATCTATTTTATTTCATCTCAAAGTCCAAATCTTTCAGAATGGGTTTTCTCCAAAATTGTGGTTTAAGAATAAAGCGAGAGTTTTTATTGTTTTAGTCATGATCATACATAGGTCAACCTCCCCAGCAATCCAAGTCCAAATGCCTTTTACACAAGCCGAGGTCTCCCACTGTCACCTCTTTTTGTTTTTATTTTTTCATTTTAATAATTTAGAGGGCGGAGAACTTTTTTATTTTTAGAAACTCCTCTCATGTTCACAAAGCATAGTCAGTCTCAGATCATATTTAACAGAACTTTCTTTAAGTACGCTGATATACATGGTATAAATAGTTATATTATGATTACCAATAGAATGCAGAGACTCTAGTTGATTGGTTGATTTTTTTTTCTTCTTTTTCCCTTGAAAAATGCTTTTCTTTTTCCGTGACTTGAGAAATCCTTTAAGAAAAGGAAAATTATTTAAAGGTTAAGAAATTAGAAGAAGCAATAACTTAACATTGTTCGACCAAAAAGTATGACTTTCGATTAAAATTATAATATTTTTATAATGACGGGTTAAACCTAGTTTATAATAATATCTCTAAATGTAAGTTCTGAAAATGTAGCTAATCACTGAACAGATCTGGTGAGACATTGACAATAACAAGCATTAAATATTCTAAAAGGTATCAGCAATAATGGAGGAGTAATTAGCAATAAATAACAATAAATGACATTTAAGTAAATAGGAGGAGTGGTTCACCTAATAAATAATGAATTAGATGATCCTTCCTCCTGACAATGTTGAGTGACAGATAAATCCTAGAATGTTCGAACTATTCTCGGATCTGATGGAAAAGTATGGAATAATATGAATAAGAATCTTGATGAAAATGTAGTGTTTGTATCTTTGCTAGAGAGAGAGAATCTTTTTTATAAATCTGTTCTTGTCAAGTGAATATTACATGCATATGTTCCCTATCTTTTGTCTTCTTTATATAGGAGATATCCCTAGTAAACCCTAATAGTATGTGCAGAGAATATTCTTTAGGATATTCCCTTTATTACCTTATTCTAAAAACTAGCCGTTACAACTCTTTCCGCGGACCTCGTCCTCGACCATTGTAGGTATCCCGACAACGAGCTTCGCCATTTCCTGATTGACCTCGATTCTCCCCTTAATACTTCCTTGCCCTAAATGTTCCGTGGTAGATTTCAACCTATACAGTTAGTCCCTCCACTTATTGAGGCCATCCTTAGACAACCTCGATGAGCAAACTTTGTTGGTTATGGTCGAGGAGAGTGGACGAGTGGGTCGGGCAGTTAAGTTTGGGACGAACTGGCTACGTGGCCTTTCGTGAGCTGCAACTTTGGGGTTGTGTCGTTTCCGCACCAGAATGACGTTATGACATCATGCATCATTATGATGCATTTTCCCGATGCTTTGCGTCGTTTCTCGTGCGACTGTCAGTTAGGGCTGCCGTTTCGATTCTAGTGCTAGGTAATGATGGCATAATCTCTTGGTTTTGATGCCCAAATTCTTATAAATAGAGATGTGATGACATTCATTTGTTTTTTACGTGTTTTTGTCATCAAAACCTTGTACCTTCTTCTTCTTCCACCATCGTTGTGTTTCTTTTTTCCTGATCTTAATTATTCTTGTTGCTTATAATACTTCCTTGTCTAAATATCCTCTCTCCAAAAATATGGCTAACGTATCGTCTAGTTCCGGTGTGGTAACTGACCATATCCCTTTGGCGGTGCTTATACCCCCTCACACTGATGGCGTCTCTGTCGCCATTGAAGATGAGAATTTCCTACGATGGAGGAAATAATCCCTCGTAGTGAGAAAGTTACGTCTGACTTTTAGAAGACGCCTGAAGATGAGCCCGAGGTCTCTGAGTCGGCGAAGAAAGAGGCCGATCTAGAAGAGCTTAGGGAAAAATTCAACATTCCTGCCTGCATCGATCTAGTCCCGGCAGGGCGTGATATGGTACAAATCCACCGCCCCGGATATTGCGCGTTCTATGCATATCCCTTCCATGTCGGCTACACTCTTCCTCTTCTCCCATTGTTGGAGGAGTTTTGCCGTTACTATGGTGTTTGCCCGGCCCATCTCTCTCCATACATCTACAAGCTCATTAGGATGCTCACAAAATTTGCGGAGTTGGCCGGGTTCGAGGTCACACTCCGACATTTGATGCATCTCTTCGCTCCGAGTTTCTATAGAGGGACAATGTTGAACCTTCGCCATCGAGAAGGTAAATGCCTGATGGTGAAGATGGATGACAAGGCAAATCGTCAGTTCTGGCACANACAAGCATTTTTCAAAATTTTTAAAGGAGTTTTAAATCAATTTATTCCTATATTTTATTATATAAATACTGATTAGTTGCATCACAAATTATTTTTATGATGATCTTATCATCTAATTTCATCATTTATACCCAGATTATATTTTTAAAATATTTATCACAATACATTTGTATTTTAAAGGCTAAAATTGCACATTTTGCAATAATAGCCCATATATACCTATGATTACTTTATTTATGCAAAAAATAGCTTTCCATATTTTTATAGTATTAAATAATTGTTATGAATCATTTTTATGCACAAATGATATTTTTTTTATTTGCTTATTATTTTTTTAATTATTTGTTTAATAAATTGGGTATTTAAAATCTGGCCGCTATTTTCAATTAAAATTTCGGACCTAAGATACCCAAACCAACCCAATTACCCCAGCCCAACTACTTAATACCTAGCGCAATTCGCTCAGCCCAAACTAAATAACCCCCTAACCCAATACTCGTTTATACCTGACCCAAATCTCTCCCCCAACCCTAGTCATTCTTACCAAACGGCCGCCCTTAAACTCCCTCCTCTCTTCTCCTCTGAAACCCTAAGCGTCGTCACCCTAATCTCCCTTCGATTCCAACTTAATCAATGATATTCTTACCTTATTTATCTTGTCTCGCTACTGGTTACTCGATTATGGTATAACATAGTGGCTTGCCTAACATGGCAAGACGATTTCCCATTTCCAGACCAAAAGAACTTTCCTCCCTTTTTTATCTATGTTCAGGTTTTCACTTCTTTGGGTATGAATCTCTGAAGATTCTTTTGATTCTTTATTCACCTTAAAAATTGGGGTTTAGATCCTTTAAGATCTGTTTAAATTTTGTTTCTTATTTTTTTATCAAAAAAATCTTCTTAATATTCCCGTATGCCTATCTATGTGCACTCTATTAAAATTTTCGTGATGTTGCTGACCAGTTATATTTGTCCTAAAATTAGGGCTCAGATTTGTTATGGTTCTTATTTTTGGTAACATTTTTTCTTCAATGCTTTCCTATATTTGTCTATGTGCATGTTATTATGATTTTCCTTTAATTATTCCAACTAATTTTACTTACCCATAAAATTAGGGTTTTAATTCTTATTCCTTTTTTCCCTTACTGATTCTGTCTATCTATTTATGACTCTTTCTTTTAACCTAAGGGTCTTCTCAAGCCTGTTTGATTTCCTAAAATTACTGTGATTGCATATTTTACGCGTTTTATGTACTGTTCTTCTTGGCTTGCCTTAATAATGTTCTGAGTTTTTTTTCTTAAATTAGCTGATTTATTGTTTCCATATATAGGTACCCTAATCTAATGCTATTTAAACTCCTTCCCTCTTTCCCCTTACAACAAGACTCAGAACTCTAGTATCTCACTACTAAAACTATATACTATACTGTTATTCTATTCTGCTTTGATTCCTGGCCGGCTGGAAGTCAAGGCCAAAAATCTTCTATCGTTTGCTGCTGTTGATAATCATTGTTGCATTGCTAAACTTCTTTCTGTTTTATCTGAACTAGTAAGTCGTTGAAACTCTTTCCTACTTTGTTACTCATTCAATATGTTACTGCTAATTGATTAGTTACTTTCTGTATTCTAGACATGTTTAACTCGATAGATTACTTGGCGAAATTTGCTTAATTATGTGTAACTTAAAACTGTCTTTTAATATTAAGTATGTTTTGATACCTTTTATTAATAATTAATGTACTTCTTGACCCATTAGTGATCAATGGATTGCTTTTCTGTGACTTATCCTAGCCTGAATTTTGTATTGTCTTCTGTGAAAGCATGCTCATGAGTTGGTCATTATTAGTTTATGACTTCGTTTATTTTCATACTTGTTAGTTTCAAAGTGTTTGTCCCTGTTCTATGTGCAATTCTATCCCTAAATATGCTTCCCAATCCTGTCCTGCACTCTCCTTGTGAGCATGTGTTTTTTGCCCTATATGAAATACTCCTATAAAATCCAAGAAAATAGATTTTTTCCAATTATTTGCCATTTTATAGGAATTTTTGTACGATTTTTATTAAGTGCTTGCATTTTTGTGCATGTTTAATTTTTATTAAAATCATGAAAAATACCAAAAATAACATGCATTGCATTTAGGTTTTATTTTTATATTTTTAGGATTAATTAGTCAATTATTTATTTATTAAAAAATAAAAATCACAAAAATAGCTCATTTTACATTTTTTACCTTTTTAATTTTTAGATTAGTGATTTTTCTCTTAATTTAGGATCAAGTAATTTTATAATTATTGCAATTAGATATTTGGCTTAATTTTACAATCTTAGATTAATTTAAAATTTTAATATAGGGTTTTATATTAAAGAAAAAAGAAAAAAAAGAAAAAGAAAAAGGAAATAATTGGTTAATTAAAAAAGGGAGTTATTTTTCTGAATTTGGGACAATTTTTAAAGCGAAAACCCGTTCCAAACTAACCCAAACCCAATCCCAATCAGCCTTGCCCGGTCCAAGTCCCCCACCCTCCAAACGACACTGTTTTTTGCCCCAAATAATCCCAGTCGTTGATCATCACANCCCCGCATTTCACATTGTCTATGTATCTAACCCCAAACCCTAGCCGCCCTAAAATACCTCACCGTCTCTGC